TGAGCTGGTTTTCAACAAAGTTTAAAAAGACCACGAAGATATGTAAAAATTGATCACGAAAGTTGAACATATAAAGCCAAGAAAATTTGGAGTAATCGTCAATAAAACAAATATAATATTTATTATTCTGATGAGACGTTACAGGAGCTGGCCCCCAAATGTCAAAATGAACTAATTCTAGGGGAGCCTTGGATCTATGAAAAGTGGGAGGATGAGGATGATGATGACTCTTACTAGAGGCACATGCCGAGCAAGTTGGTTGAACAACTGACGACTTATTTAACATGCGAGAAATAGTAGAATATGCAGCATGGCCTAAACGATGGTGCCAACGGACAAGGGAGCTGGACTGAGATAGGTAATAAGCTGAAGGAGAAAGCTTGGATTGATCCGACAGTTGATAGAGCCCCTGATTAAGGTTCCCTTGGAAGAGAATCTTGCCCGTACGGCGGCACTTCACAGAAAAACAATTAGGTGAGAAAATGAAATCACAATTGTTTTCCTGTGAAAATTGACGAACGGAAAGTAAGTTTTTCTTTATAGAGGGAACAACTAGGACATTAGACAAACGAAAATTTTGAGAAACAAGAGTACCTGTATGGGTTATCGGGAGGCTAGACCCATTACCTATGGTAACGTGTTGGTTGCCTATGTAGTGCTGAAGAGACGACAATTGAGATGGATTATTGATGCACCTAGGGGACCGGCGGACCCGTTATGCGACTGGACGAACCGGCGGGCTTGAAGTCAATGATGTTGGATTCAGCTCAAATTTGGTCGGCTGAAGCGAAACGGCATGCTAATCAATACTCATAGCCTCTAGCTATGACTAACGATGGATTTTCGCGATTCGGGGTCGTTTAGATGTTTTTTTTAATTATTTTAGTAATTTTCGAATTAAGGGTATTTTTGTATTTTTTGCGTTTTTTTTGTCATTAGGGTTAACACCCTTTATAAACTCGTTTTTAGGGTTTTGAGAGGCAGTAGTTTTTGGATGTTTTGAAAACTTATCGATTGTTAATCGATTGAGAGAACAGTTTGTTCCTCGTTATCGTTTCGATTCTTCTGTTCAGCCTATTTTCTATCGCGCTTCGGCATCAATTGGTATCAGAGCACAGGTTGCTTGAATCAATGGCTGAACAGAATCGCGGTCGTGGACGGTGGGCTCGTGGTGGCCAGGGGCGTGGAGGCGTTCCTGAAGCAGACGACCAACCGCGTCTAAGAGATCTGCAAGACGTAGAAATTGAAGAACAGAGAAGACGAATCCAGGATTTGGAGCGACAACTTGCGGAGGCGAGGTTGGGCGTTCAATCCGAAGAAGGGGCGGAATCTGCGGATTCATCCGATGATGAAGAGGAGGACGTAAACCCTTTTGGGATTCTGAACCAGGGGCGGAATCGAGGAGTACGACTTGGAATTCGGCGTTCTTCACAAAATTTCGAAATGAAGATCAAGATTCCCGAGTTTAATGGTAAGGCTGATCCTGATGAGTTTATTGATTGGTTGCATACGGTAGAACGGATTTTTGATCTTAAAGACCTAACTGAGGGGCAAAAAGTGAAGTTAGTGGCTATCAGGCTGCGAAAACATGCTTCGATTTGGTGGGAACACGTAAAAAAGCAACGCGCTAGAGAGGGCAAGCCGAAGGTGGATCGCTGGGAGAAGATGAAAAAGTTATTGCAGAAAATTTTTTTGCCTACCCATTATAGGCAAGAGGCGTTTATCGAGTATCATAACGTCAAGCAAGGTGATAAAACAGTTGAGGAATTTACAGAACAATTTGATCGCTTGCGGATGCGTTGTGATGTGGCGGAGGAAGACGAGCAGACGATTGCACGATATCTGGCGGGGCTGCGATATGAGATATCTAATGTTGTCCAATTACAGCAGTATTGGACATATGGGGATGTGTGCAGACTAGCCCTAAAGGTGGAGGGGCAGTTTAAAAGAAAGAGCAATAATTCTAAGTGGTCAGGCAGCAGTTCCAAGTGGTCAGATAAAGAATCCCAAGGAAAAGCGGGAACATTTGCAGTAAATTCGACACCAATTGCAGTTAAGGATGCGAATTCTAAACATGCATCCAAGGAGGGGCAGAGTAGTGCTGGAACTAGCAGAGGAGGAACTGCAGCCAAGCGGTGTTTCAAGTGTCAGGGATTCGGGCATTTTGCTGCTGATTGTCCGAACCGACAGATTGTGACACTTGTTGATAATCCAATCTTTGATGAAGGTCCAGTTTATGATGAATCTGAAGGTGAAGAAGAGGATGTGGATGCGGAACAGGAAGAGATTATCTATGCTGATTTTGGTGAGTCCCTAGTCGTTAGAAGAATATTAAATGTTGCTGTAGCGAATGATGAATCGTGGCTTAGACATAATATTTTTCATACTAAGTGCACTAGTAGAGGAAAAGTATGCAGCATGATAATAGATGGTGGGAGTTGCGAGAATGTGGTGTCCACGACTATGGTGGAAAAGTTGGGGTTGAAAACAAAAGATCATCCTCAACCATACAAGCTGTCGTGGCTTAGAAAAGGGAACGACGTGAAGGTGAGCAAAAGGTGTCTTGTGCAATTTTCGATTGGAAAAAATTACATTGATGAGGTGTGGTGTGATGTAGTCCCAATGGATGCTTGCCATATTTTATTGGGGAGGCCGTGGCAGTTTGACAAAAAGACACAGCATGATGGATTCAGAAATACCTATACCTTCAAGAAGGATGGCCGAACCATTACCCTAGGTCCTTCAGATTTGAGAAAGGAAGTAAAGAATAATCTGCTGTCCAGATCAGAATTTCAAGAAGAGGCAGTGAACGCGCCTCGGCCTTTTTCCATTGTGGTGATGGAGCGGAATTCTAACAGTCCCGAAATTCCTACCCAAGTTCTGCCCTTGCTTGAGGAGTTTGCTGATGTCGTACCGGAAGAGTTGCCACCTGGGTTGCCGGGTGAGCACAATGTTTTTGAAACTTTTAATGTAGCAGATTTGTCACCTTACTACACTGAAGAGGAAGAAGACCCTGAAGAGATTGACGACAATGAAGACGAAGCAAATTCGAGGACGAATCTTTCTCTAGCAGGGGAGGATGATGCACCTAGGGACCGGCGGACCCGTTATGCGACAAGACGAACCGGCGGGCTTGAAGTTAATGATGTCGGATTCAGCTCAAATTTGGTCGGCTGAAGTGAAACGGCGTGCTAAGGCTATGACTAACAATGGATTTTCGCGATTCGGGGTCGTTTAGATGTTTTTTTTTAATTATTTTAGTAATTTTCGAATTAAGGGTATTTTTGTATTTTTTGCGTTTTTTTTGTCATTAGGGTTAACACCCTTTATAAACTCATTTTTAGGGTTTTGAGAGGCAGTAGTTTTTGGATGTTTTGAAAACTTATCGATTGTTAATCGATTGAGAGAACAGTTTGTTCCTCGTTATCGTTTCGATTCTTCTATTTAGCCTAATTTCTATTGCGCTTCGGCATCAATTATTTTTGACATGGTGTGTGGCACCGGAATCTGGATACCACGGGTCCGAAAAGACCGATGGTTGTGGTGGAATTTCAGCAATGTGGAGCTGTGGTGCCAAGCCTAAAGATTGTGGTGGAGGCCCACGATCACGGCAAACATTGGCTCGGTGGCCAAAGCGATTGCAGAGTTGACATCGAACACTACCCCTCCTTTGATTTCTGTAATTGCCTGCATTTAGAGAGTAATTTGGGGCTGAATTTCGAGGGCCAAAGTGCTGTCCACTTTGCGGAAATTGTTGCCTAGGCCGTGGTGACCTATTCACACGAGAAGGAAGCTGTTGAGGTGCTTGGTGTGCTGTCCGCGTCATGAACACTGCTGAAGGGGAGGTGATGGGCTCAAGCAAATCAAGTCGTGCCTCATGAGCCAAGAGCAGCCTGTGTAGAGACTCACATGTAAGGGATTGGTACTGACTTTGAACGGAGATTGACACTGCTAAATTTTGATATTCCGCTTCGAGTCCCCTGAACAGATGAGTTTGATATTCTTGTGAAGAGATGTTTTCACCAATCGAGGCAAGTTGATCAACCAGGAAGGCTGCTTGCTGTAAATATTCCGTGATTGTTTGATTTCCCTTGCGTAGAGTCTGAAGTTGCATTCGTAGATGTGTGGCGCGAGCACTGTTACGTGCTTCATATGATTGAGCCAAGAAGGACCATATGGCTGCTGAAGAGCCTAAATTGGAGAGCTATGCAATGATGTTGTCAGCTGTGGAATTGAGAATCCACCCCAAGGCAATTTGATCTCGGGTAAACCATGTTTCATATGCTGGATTTGGTGAACTTTTGGTGACACCATTCTCACTAATTTCAGTGATAGTGTGTGGAGGGCATGGTTCGGTTCCGTCCACAATTGACAAGAATCGACTGCCCGGAGAAAGGGGAGGAGGCGTACCTTCCATATGATGTAATTGTGTCCGGTTAATTTGATACCAACCGCAGGACATGTGATTGATCTAGATGAGCCCCATGTGGGAGGGATGAGAGGAAATGGTGGGATAGCATTCTTGATGAGGTCAGTTGGATTAGCAACACTTGGGATTGGGTTACTTATTGTTTGATTGCTAGCTGCTGCGTTTGGGGAAGATGGGGATGAATTTGAATCTGATTGGTTTGCCATTTATGCTTTCGCAAGATATGGCTCCGATACCATGTTAAAGCAATGAACTAACAAGATGAGAATGGGTGGCAATTACCAATAAGTGTTTTGTGTTTTAGTAATAGAATTTTTTGTTACATTCTTCAGCTACGCGTTGTGATGTCTTTATATAATACAAGCTAGGGTTACGGAATTAATGAAGAATAAAATCATGATCTCTTCTCTTTGGAAAGAATTGATCTTGCTTGATAAGCAAGTGGTGAAGAAATTGTAGTTGAATCAAGACACGTCATCGTGATCTTTTCTCTTTGGAAAGAATTGATCTTGCTTGATGAGCGAGTGGTGGAGAGATTGTAGCTAAATCAGGACACGTTATTGTTTCCTTTGACAATATTTTGTGGTTACAGCATTCCTCATCCTTCGGAAGCCTGGGTTAATGTTAGAGTTCAAACGACAGGTATTATATGCTCTCATCAATCTCAAGCCTAAGAGATGTGATGTACTTAGGATGCTTTGCTTTGCCTCTAAACATCATGTTATACTGTGAAATTGTAGTTGGTTATGTTTTTTTTTTTTTATAGATGGGTAGACCAGGAAATACGATCTAAGTGTTGCTGGATTTTGTCAAAAATTGGTTTGACGAGCTCATGAAATCCGCACAGCACATCACGGAATCTTTAATACATGTTGCCATACCCAGCATTGTTAAGTCATTCAAAATTGTACCAACTCTCTGTTTTAACTTTGCACCTTAAGGCCATGAAACTTCTTCCACAGAACATTGGAGAGGATTGCCCTGGCTAGAAGAGGCCTCCCTTTCACAGGAATTAGGCCTAGCTTTCATGTCTCGCATCCATCTTGCCCCACCTTCTGTAACCAATGGAGCTGTTGGTCATCAAGCATTTTCTTCTGTGGTGATCTCCAAAATGGCTTTTCATGTATTCTACTCTGTTTGAATCTTTTACGTGGTGTTTCTCAGATGAGCCAGCAAGAGAGGTATTGAAAGATGCATGCCAAGATCTGATGCTGATGTGTCAACACATAAGGGGCACATTCGATAAAGCTGTTAACGATATTAGAACGGAAAATCCTCCTGATAATCATCCTTCCCAGGACATTGACTCAGATTAACGGTGAAATTATTGTAGCAGCTTTCGATTTATTAGGTCTCAATCTATGGTCATGTGACCTTTTTGAAGAATGGCCTCTATCGAATTCTTGTCTGCAGAAGAATCTTTCAGTGATATTTTAAGTAAATTGTTTGTGAGTAATTGGGAAGCCATTGAGCATCATTATATTGATCATCTATGAAGACCTAATCAGCATCAATGGAAGAATTATAGACAAGGATATCGATGTTGGGGTCATACTTCTTATCTATGTAGTATTTTGATAGATAAATCATTCTTTTCTACGTAACTGTTCTTTTTTTTATTTGGCTTCTGCTCATTCCTTTTACGATATTTCCATCAAGTTGTTCCTCAAGAATACCCATGCAGGGCTTGCCTGTGGGGCTTATGCTAGCTTCCATGGAACCGGTTCTTTGTCAACATGCATTGGTTCAACCCATTTCCTCATTCTCTGCCCGAAGTCTGTCTCATTTTACAAACTTGATAATTAATACAGTAGTATCTCTTTATATCCTCTTTTCTTTCATTTTACTGGAAATCATCTCTCCTTGTGTCCATGTGCTTCAAGATTACATGAGCCACCCGTTCAGAATTACAGTTCTGCAGTAGTCATAGCAAACTATCCATGGAGGGTGTCTAACCTCAACCGATCCTAAACATTTTGCTTATTTTGCAGGTGATCTTGAATTTCTACATGCCCTTAACAGAGCAATCCTTTGTATTTGTACCATGCAACTATGCCGACATACAATAAGATGGTAATGATGGCGCAAGCGACGTTGGTCCATATGAAGTCTTCCTGGGACTGATTTGTGGGATGCCAAAGTGTGATGGCTATGTTAATGCCCATCACGTCACCGAGGACTATGTACAAGCTGATCACCAGAATAGCAGTTGTCATCAGCACTCCAATCTGCAGTAGATTGTTTTGTTTGTCGTCCAACATTATGTTCATGTAGTCCTCCGTGTCGTCGACGTACTCCCTCAGCTTTAAGATCAGAAAAAACAAGAAGAGGACTAACGAGTTGAGCTATTAATTTTCAGCGAAAAGGTAGTTCAGTGTCTCTTTTTGGGTATGTGCTTTCATAAGGAAATTTAATTTGTCATCAGAGAGAAAGTATGAGATTCATACTGTAGAGAGCTTGTTAAGTGTGCCATCAACTTGCACGAAGTATGCCTCTAGGAGCATCTCTAATTCCGCCACGTGGACATGCCTGACTGGGGCGGCGAAGCGAGAATCGCTGCTCTTGGCCGTTTCTATTTCATCGTTCTGCGAGCCACGCGGAGGAGTCAAGCCATCATCGGGTGAGATATCGGGATCTCCACTGTCATGCCTGTATAAATTTGGCGATAAGACAATAGTAACAGGATTGAAGTTAAACAGAAAGCAAGAGATTCAGTATGTGCCCGTCATTGTTGGGTTCATGAACTTCTTCTTCCTCCTCGACGGCAGCTGAGGAAGAAGAAGAGTTGTCATCTTCTTCTTGAAGCAGTTTGCTAGTCAGGTACATACCCGCCATGTCTCCATCATCTTCGAGAATATGCTCGAGCTCATCCCTCACCTATAGATACACAGAAAAGGCCCATGCAATAAAATGTGGCCACTTGAGATATGTCTTTAATGCAAGTAATGTTAATATGTATGGTAAATGCAATCATGTGTTAGCGTAGTGTTGAATTTTTATTTTTTTTTATAACCCATGGGCACGTCATGGAGACAAGGGCTACCTAGAGGCCCATAAAGCACAATATCTAGTGTAATATAATGCGAAAAATAACATATCTTGCAGCGCTTAACGCGTGAAAGGAGAAAATTATCATACAAATCAATGAGAAACAATAAACAACACCATAAATCTACATGGTTCGATCTAAATATCGGTAGAAGAGATTCAGTATTAGAATCCGTCAAGAGCACGTAGCGAGACAAGGTTCTTCCACAACTCCGGAACATGTCTTACGTTAGTCAATATTGTCGCCACTCCATCGTGCATTTTAATCCGAACTGTTCCGATCCCTACTACTTTACAAGTAGCATCGTTTCCCATAAAAACCTTACCACAATCCGTGTGCTGATAGGTAGTAAACTAATGTCAATGAAGAGTTATAAGATAAGAACATTTAGAGTCAAGCACCCAATCATCATCTTATGAACTTGTGGTAATTGTTAACACATCGTTGACATCACTAAAATTATAATCTTTTGTGGTAACAATATTATTATCACCTATAGACTCCACCTAAACTCATTTACCCTTGTACTTTGGACAATCTCTCTTGCAGTATCCTGCCTCATAGCACTGTGAACATTGATGGTTCCGAACATTGAACCTCGATTTAATACAGCTCATCCATATACTATTTCTAGACTCTTTACGATCGGCTCTACCCCAAATAATCAAACCTCATGCCATATTCTACGTTAAGTTATTTTTTGTAACTTCTTTCGTCATTCTTTTAAAACAAGGTAGATTTTATATCTTTCAAGGTAATCGTAGTGTGCTCTTGTAGTAGCGAATCAGTAAAGTGCTCAAAAAAACCCGATAGAGACGTTAACAACGTAATGCCTTGTTTCTCATCATGAAAGGCCTCATTGACATTGTTTAAGTCCATCATGAGTTTATTAAACTCATGCAAATGGGCTTTGATAGATGTACTTTCAACCGCCTGGAACTTAAACATCATTTTCAGCATATATAAGAGATTGTTCAAATCCTTCATAAAATAAAGTGCTTGAAGTTTTGCCCACAATGCTCCGACATCTTTCTCTTTGGTCACTTCAGTCAATATGTCATCCAATAGATTCAATAGAATTATGCTTTTCGCATTCTCTATCAACTCTAATTTATCGGCCTCCTTCATCGTTTCTGGCAATTTATCCTTGTCATTGAATACCTTCGCCAAAACCAAGGTTGTTAATAGAGCACACATTTTAGTGCTCTACAACCCAAATCCGTTCCTCCCATTGAACTTCTCAATCTTCACTTTTGTTCCGGACATAATTTCAGCAGCAGAATTTCCAAATAGTGTTCAAACAAGCAAAAGCCCTAAATCAACTCTAGAAACTTTAACCTTAACTCTAATAACAATTATTGTAATATAATGCAAAAACTAACGGATCTTGCAATTTATGCTTAAGCGAGAAGGAAAAAAATCAGAGAAACCAATGGGGAACAATAAAAAAAAATAATCAAAGAACGTGGTTCGATCTAAGTATCGGTACATATTCCATAGAGAGAGTCAGCCGTAAAAAATCTACCTTGAATTTGGAGATTACAGAGCTTACAATAGCTCAAGTATTTCAGAGACCTAAATTACACCCAAAGCAAAATGCAAGTGATCCTGATTCAAAGTAATTTGCACGCAGTCGGATTTAAATGGGTGAGCTCCAATTGAGCTGGAAATTCTCCAAAGTCCTAAATAACTGCGCCAACCCAAGGGTATTAATCTGTTCGTGCATATGAAAAAAAACCAACCAATTTCTACAAGCTTATTGAGATTCGTCACTGATTGAAGTGACTATTAGATGTCGAACCCAATTTCAAGTATGAGGAAAACATAGATTAAGGATAGATAGAGAAGAGGAGTCTCAAACCTTTTGAACGCGTTGAGTTAATGCACCCAAACGGCCCTTAATTTGATGAACCCTTTCGAGGTAGAAGCTACTAATCTCTGAAGTTAGCTTATCCAAAGCGGGATAAGCCTCTTGCTCTAATGCTTTTGTCTGAATTTTCACGTGAGTTGATTGGTTTTATGAGCATTAAGTACTGACTAATTAAATAAAGAAACACCAACAACATAGAGACTCTGTACCTCGTCGTCCAAACAGGAGCAGGCAGCTTCAAGGCATGCCTCTAAAGCAACAAACTCGAAAGGAAAAGTCTGCAATCTGTCTTGTTGTTCCTTCAACACTTGACTGTGTTCCACACTCTCTTGCGAGCCTTGGAAGATTTTTGCTAGCTCCGCTGCAGTTCGCTCATCGCCGCCATTTCCGCGAATCTAATTAGAAAAGCACAAGGTCAATATTTTCTTACTAGCCAATCGTGGGTTCGAACTGTCCTATGTTTGTGGAAAGATAAAAAGAACCTATGAAGATTTATAGTCGCTGTGAAGATCTACAGTAGCGCACTTAATCCAGTCTTCGCACGAAAGAAGAGGGGCTCTGAAAGAGCCTCGCATCTAGCTCGTTCAAGCGCTTTCACAATCACGTCAACCGTTAAGGACCCGCATGACAATAAAGTTAGCGAAGTATGGGGTGACGTAGTACCCATTCTACACAAGATACAATATATATTTAGCGACAAATCCATAGGTTTTAGCACAATGTATTAATCACCGTGAATAAATATGTCTACCTGTGGAAGGATATGTAGTCAACTATTTATTGTAAAACAGTTTCCATTAACGTAATAAATGCCTTATTCAATCCATGATGAACACAATACTAATTAAGGGTGAGCAGTTTCAGGTTCCTTATAAATTTCACTTGGCACCTAGAATCTATTCTCTAGTACAGGTTCCTCATTTTTTGGAACCTGGAACTTACCCGTTGGAACTTGAAATCAGGTTCTATGGTAGATTCCAGGGTCTAACAAGTTCATTTTTATTTTATTTCATTATGAAAATGAACGTAACAATACTAAACAAATTTGTCATTCATCAAAGAGAATACAAAAGACTAAATTTCCTAACATTACGGTTCAAATAAATACAATTAAAACAAGAAATCATTGCGTGAATCGATATTAGGAGTGAGTGGTTCCATGTTCCGTACAAGTTTCACCTAAAACCTACCCATGATAATAGGTTCCTCATTTTTTAAAACCTGAAACCTATCATATCATTGGTTCGAGGGTCAGTTCTAAGGTCTACCCAAGTTGCCACCTTTATTATTAATTGAACAATTGTAATGAGTCATCACCTTTAATGACCATCACTTGCTACTATGAGTCATTGACCACAACTTATATTTAGGGTGCGTTTGGCAACTATTCTGTGTCCGGGAACTGATTCTGCTCATAAATAATTTTTTTTTATTTCGTGCATAGGAACTGATTCTGCTCAGAAATGATTCTTTTTTAATCCGTTCCCGGGAACAATTTCTAAGCATTAGAATGCGTTTGGTAACTATCTAAAATTTCTTTTTATTAATAATATTTTCAATATTTTAATATTTCTTTTTTTTATTTTTCCTTTTTTTTTCTCTTTTTTGTTCTTCTTCTTCCCCTTCTTAGCGCATGGCGCTGGCGACCGGCCATAAGCCAGGGCCGATGAAGGCTGGACCCTCACCGTCGCCCTCGCCACCGCGACCCATCTCCCTCGCCTGGGTCGCAACAGCGAGGCCGACCTCGCTATCGCGACCTAGGCGACGGCGAGGTCGGCCTCACCCAACCAAGGCGAGGCCAACCTCGCTGTCGTGACCCATCTCCCTCACCTAGGTCGCGACGGCGAGGTTGGCCTCGCCATGGCTGGGCGAGGCCTCGCCGTTGCGGCCACGAGCCGCCCTCGCCCAGGCGGCGAGGACTGCAACACTCTCGCCAGCCCTGGCCTATGGCCGGTCGCTAGTGGCTGGGGGCCGGCCAGGAAGAAGAATACCAAGAAGAATCATAAATTGAAAAATTGTTTCCAAAATCAAGAAGCTACTTTTTTTTGCTTCTTGATTATGTTCCAAAACTGATTCTGAGAACAAAAAAATAAAAATTATCATTATTTGGCAACTTGCCAAACAGGCCCTTAGATACACGAAGAATATGAAATATTAACAAGTCATAAAATGAAAGCTCTGAATAGTGGTTGCAGATTATACACTCATCATCTGATATCAGGAAACACCGCAGAATTACGTAAAGACATAGATCAACAAAAAACACAAAAAAAAAACTCTTTTAGGTTTTAGGTTCTAAGTTCCAGGTTCCACCTACCTAGAACCGACCTATCGAAACAGGTTATCCAATTTTTGGAACCTGGAATCTACCCTGCATACCTTGGAACCCAGAACCTACAGATTCCCACCAGTTAGGTTCTCAGATTTCAGGTCCTACCCTGGAACCATGCTCACCCATAATACTAATTCAACTAAATATAAAACATCTTTTTGAATCAAGGAAAGATTGAAAACCTTCACTGCTTTTGCTTCATGATAATGCAAGAACCGTCGCTTGAGCTCCTCCACAAAAGGAACCACCGCTGGGTCCTTAGAGTTCAGCAGCAAAACATTATGTGCAGTGATTATCCCCTTGATGTGCTCCAGCTTGATCACAATGGCTCTCTCGCGGCCCGTGATGGACGACGGGTACGAGAGAAACGGGTCGAGGATCCGGAGGTCGCGGGCTGAGAGCCCCGTGCGGCGCATGATGGACTGCTTCCCGGCATCGATCTGCTGGATCCGGCCAGTCGAGTCGATGACAAGCCAGGACTTCAGCCGTACCGCCTTCTTCCGGTGTCGATGATCCTTTGTGTTTCCTGTGTCGATTGGGGTCGGGTGCACTGCCGGGTCAACTCGGGGCATCGTCGAAAGATGATCGCTGGACCCGGCCATTGAGTGAAGATTGCTTCGTGAGCATACATTAATGAAGCAGGGTCTATTTAACTCTCGGATGAATAAACTATAGAGCATGATTGTTGGGTGTTATGTATCCGGTGGACTGTGCTTAACGAGCCAGGTGATATGCAGTGACGGCCCTCACCGGGTTATCCAAAAACACTGTCCTAGGTTGTCCTTTTTAATCACTTTTTTTGGTACAGAAAGGACGCACTATCAAGGTCATTCTGTTTTGAACAAAAAAGTAAAGAAAAGGCCATTCTATAGAATTATTTTACAAGAGATTTGGCAGAAATAATTTATCATTTTGTTAGGAAAAATTATCCTAAAAGTCATAAACCTATTACACTTTTATCAATTCAGTCCTAAACATTTTAATTTAACAATCGAGTTATAAACATTTTCACTTTTTGTCAATTTTGACTGGAAATCACTGACATGGACATCGGCCGTACTATCGGCCATGCCAACGCGATATGGACATTTTTAATAATATTTTAATATTTTTAAAAATCATTTATTTCTTTTTTTCTGTTCTTCTCTTTTCCTTCTTCACTTTTTTTCTTTTTTATTTTTAATAATATTTCCGCTGGCCATCACTGAGCCTTGGCAATGGCCGATAATGGTCGCCTAGCTTAGGCGAGGGCCACCCTCACTAGCCTCAGGTGAGGGACGCCTGCACCAAGTCTAGCAAGGGCCACCCTCGCCCTCGCCTGATTTGGCGAGGGCAACCCTCAATGTCGCCAACCCAAGTGTGGGAGTCCCTTGACTAAGGCTGGCAGAAGGAAAATGGGGAAAATGTAAAAAAAGAAAGTAAAAAAAGAAGAGAAAAGGAAAAAAATTAAAAAAAAAGTACAGAAGGAAATGAGAAGAAAAGAAAAAAGAAAAAAATTAAAATATTATTAAAAATGTCAACGTCAGCGCCAGTCATGCCATGTAGGACAGCTATCATTCACGTCAGCAATTTCCGGCCGAAATTGACCAGATTGACTCAATTAGCAAAACGTGAAAAAGTTTAAGACTCAATCAATACAATTAAAAAGTTTATGACTGAATTGGAAAATCGCAATAGATTTATGACTTTTTGGACAATTTTCTCATTCTCTTGTAAACAGTGCGACAATATTTAGATGATACAATATGGATTTCTCGCGGATTGTTAATACGTGATTGATTTGATTGAATTGAATCAAAATGATTCTCGTATAAACCACAATCTTGTTCGTTTATTCACTTTCATTCTCTTCTATTATATGGTTGATGCACAACATTCAATTCATGACCCAAACCCATCAGGTCGATCCGTGTCAAGCACTCTAAGCTACACACATTACAAGCAAGGCTGGACAAGAGCTGGTATTGCAGGGTCAAATATATTTTTTTCTGGTACAATAATAAATCAAACGAAGCAAAACCCTGTCTATACAAGAAGAATTATGCCAATTGACAACCTAATAAATACATATATGATACGAAGTTGACTTGAGGGACTTAACTTGCAAAAAAGGAAGTGAATGCCAGTTTCACATGATGACAATGTCGACGATTGTACAAATGGATGTCCTTCAAAATGGCCCGCAGGTTTCAGCTTTTGACTTCCCTTAATGCCTGTTCATCAAATTGCTAAAATATTCACTATCAAAGATTCCAAAAAAAATGCTAAAATATTCGATCTGAAAGGCGTTGAAAAAAATAAATAAGAGCGAGCCACACATGTCGGGTAAACACCACAATACGCGGAGCAACTATTGCATAAAGTAATTTAATAGATCAAGTCAATCATATTTTAAGAATCTAAGAAATTCATATCGAGTCCACGAAGAAAGACAAGTTCCGATTTTTCTTTTCACCATCTTATTTGGACCGGAAGTAATTTACCATCTTAAGTTGAAGTATACCCCCATTTACATGAAAATACCAATTTGAGTTATTAGCCAATTTTTTTGTTAATGAAGCCATCTACTAGTTAAATATTACTTGCTTTTATTTGAGCCACTCACTAAATTTTATTTAATCCATTCAAAATTATTAACTGCTCTAATAATTTACCAATTATTGTTGAAGTGACCAACTTTTGATAAAGTATTAAATATAATTTTATTATGCTAGCTGACTCAAAATAAAGTGGTAATTTCATATAAGAGTTGATAAATTCAATAGGAGTTGGTAAATTATTTGAAAACTTGGTAATTCAGAAACAACTTAGGGCCTCTTTGGTTCAACTTTGAAAATGCTACTTGGGGAAATGCAAATGGTGTTTGGTAAAAATATTTTGTAAAGCTACTTTGGCCAAAATATAGTGTTTGGTGAATTTTTTTTTTTGCAAATGGACTTTGAGAATTATCTTATTTATTAAAAAAAAAACTAACCTACCCATCGCCGGAGCCGGCTGCTAGCGAGATAGATCTGGCGCCGGCGGCCGTCGCCTGGGTAGCGTGACCCAGGCAATGGCCGCCTGAGGTCGCCCGACCCAGGCGGCGCTACCCAGGCTGGCGGCGCCTGGGTGGTCGCGCGACCTCCGGCGACCGTCACCTGGGTCGTGCGACCTCGCCGACGCGATCCAGGTGCCGGTCGCCCTCCCTCGCCGAAGAAGATGAACAGTGACGCATGAACAGTAGCATTTGGCAAAGGCTGAAAGCCCAAGACTGGTTCGGACCAACCTTGGGCTTTCAGCATTTGGAATGCTAGCATTGGCCAAATGCTAGGCCAAATGCTGAACCAAACACCCCAGCATTTTGGAAATGGGCTTTCAAGACTCAAAGGCCCTTCCCAAAGCTGAACCAAACACCCCCTTAGTCAGCATTAATAAGTGGCTCAAAAAAGATTTAATAACCTGAAACTAATTAGCAACTTTTTAAAAAACGCCAATAAATACTTAGATATAGTTGATAATTTGTTATAAGAGTTGGTAATTTCAATAAAAGTTAGTACTTATTACAAAAGTCGTAACTCAAAACGAACTTATCAACATCTGTTAGTGGCTCAAATAAGAGTCGTAACTAGTCGATAAGTAATTCACATAAAGTTGATAATCAGATATAAAATTCGGTAACTTCAATAAAATTCTTATATTATTAGAAAAGGTCGTAATTCATAATCGACCGAATAAATATTGATACATTGCTCAAATAAGTGTTGGAAACCTAGAGATAAACACATATTGTAAAAGCATAAGCTTTTCCTTTAACTATTCTACGCATACTGTCCGTATCTGTGTTTCCACACAAAACATTCTCCGAGCGATGTTGATCTTGACCTACTAGCTATATAAATCGTTTATGCTTGTACCATGCTATTGCCATAGCATACAAGACAATCGTTCTGACCGTGCATCTGCCTGCCGTCCAGAGGAAATTGTTGATTGTTGGATTTGGAGGGTGGAAGAATGCAATTCTGATGTTCATGCTGAATATTCCGGTTACGACAATGAACATGGTGATGAATAGTGTCACCGTCGATATCACCACTCCCATTTGCAGCAGATTGTTTTGCTTGTCATCCAACATTATGTTCACATAGTCCTCCGTGTCTTGAATGTATTCCCTTAGCTTTCAACAGAGACAAGATGAAAATGTTTGTAAGGAATCGAATGAGATTCGTCGTTGTCGAATTCTTATGTTTATTTACTTTTGAAGGATATTAACTTTGGTAAAAAAAATATCCCTTCGAAGAATTGCTGTCCTGAGGAAACTAGTATTTTTCTTCTGGATTGGGGAGATGAATCTTTGTATGGAGCTAATCTACTATCCATAAATTATAAAATAACCCTATCTCTCTCTCTCTCTGTGGCACGCCTCTGTGCATGGTTAGTGATATTTTTTCTCAACATTTCGGAATATCTTGCTTGTACAGTAGTTGTTGCTGGTGGAACACGCATCCTTTGGAGATCAACGGAATGCCACATTTTCTCTTGCTGAGGAGGATCATACACTTGCAAATGCCCTCAGATTTACCTTGAATCAAGAGTCAGTACTACAATACTGTACTTGGTGCTATTTGTCAGATCTTTACATAGAAGGATCATCCATCCATTAATCGTTTTGGCCAGTATCAGCATGTAAGTGTTAAACATCAGGAGCAGGGATGTTATTAAGCAGTAAACTTACTAACGGGAAGAATTTTAATTGGATAGTTATTCGGTATGAGTTTTCGCCTATCATTATCACATACTGAATGTTCTTTTTTCCCTCAAAATGAAGGTTAATTCTTACTTTCGCTTTTCATTGGGTGAAATCATCGAATGACGCCTGAATTACTCGTCTTGTTGGAGAAATGAATATGGAAAAATGTTATGATGAAATACTAACTGGTGCATTTTCTGTTATACTTTCCCTTTTCTCCTTGGTATAGACCTTGGCAGCACCTTCTAGTATACTTCAATCTTCTCCATATTTTCTGCTCTTGCTATTGCACAGTGTCTGTTTTTGGTAAGTTTAGATTCCATAGAGTTTTAATGCTTGTTGTGTCTATTCTGCAGTCCACGGGTAATATTTTGTGGTTACAGCATTCCTCATCCTTCGGATGCCCGGGTTAATGTTAGAGTTCAAACGACAGGTATTATATGCTCTCATCAATCTCAAGCCTAAGAGATGTGATGTAATTAGGATGCTTTGCTTTGCTTCTAAACGTCATGTTAAAGTGTGAAATTGTAGTTGGTTATTATTATTATTTTTTTTATAGATGGGTAGACCAGGAAATACAATAAAGTGTTGCTGGATTTTGTCAAAAAATGGTTGACGAGCTCATGGAATCCGCACAGCACATCACGGAATCTTTAATACAAGTTGCCATACCCAGCATTGTTAAGTCATTCAAAATTGTACTAACTCTCTGTTTTAACTTTGCACCTTAGAGCCATGAAACTCCTTACACAGAAGATTGGAGAGGATTGCCCTGGTTAGAAGAGGCCTCCCTTTCCCAGGCATTAGGCCTAGCTTTCATGTCTCGCATCCATCTTCCCCCACCTTCTGTAACCAATGGAGCTGTTGGTCATCTAGCATTTTCTTCTCTGCTGATCTCCAAAGTGGCTTTTCATGTATTTTACTCTGTTTAAATTTTTTACGTGGTGTTTCTCAGATGAGCCATCAAGAGAGGTATTGAAAGATGCATGCCAAGATCTGATGCTGATGTGTCAACACATAAGGAGCACATTCGATAATGCGGTCAACGATTTTAGAACGAAAAATGCTCCTGATAATCATCCTTCCGAGGACATGGACTCAGATTGAAGGTGAAATTATTGCAGCAGCTTTCGAATTATTAGGCCTCCTCAATCTACGGTCATGCGACCTTTTTGAAGAATGGCCCCTATCAAGTTATTGTCTGCAGAAGAATGTTGCACTGATATTTTCAAGTAAACCGTTTGTGAGTATTTGGGAAGCCATTGAGCATCATTTTGTTGATTATCTACGAAGACCTACTCAGTTTCAAATGGCAGAATTAAAGACGAGGTTATCGCTGTCGGGGTCATACTTCTTTTCTATATGGTTTTTTGGAAGACAAATCATTCTTTTCCACGTGACTGTTTTTTTTTTGTTAATACCACAAAAAACCCTCAAACCGGTACACATGATAAATTTACTCCAAACTAATTTTTTTATCACCAAAAATCCCAAACTGGTACATTTGTGACAAATTTACTTCAAATTAATTTTTTGATCGTCAAAAACTCCAAACTGGTATTTGTGACAAATTTACCGTTCGTTAATTTCCGCTAAATTAGATTAATAACACGAAAAACCATGAACCGATATACTTGTGACAAACGGAGGGTTAAATTCCAAACCGGTACACCCGTTAATTATCACGTGTCTTCCAACTCACTAATTTAACGGTAAACTTTAACGGAAATTAACAGAGGATAAATTTATCACAAGTGTACCGGTTTGATATTTTTTGTTGTAAAAATATTGGTTTGGGGTAAATTTGTTACAGGTGTACCAATTTGAGATTTTTCATGGTATTGATCCTTCTTCTTTTTTGTTTCTGCTCATTCTTTTACGGCATTTCCATCAAGTTGTTCGTCGAGAATACCCATGTCAGGCATGCCAGTGGGGCTCATACTAGCTTCCATGCAACCGGTTCTTTGTCAACATGCATTGGTTCAACCCATTTCCTCATTCTCTGGCTGAAGTCTCTCATTTCACAAACTTGATAATTAATACAGTAGTATCTCTTTATATCCTCTTTTCTTTATTTTTACTGGGAATCATCTCTCCTTGTGTCCATATGCTTCAAGATTACATGAGCCACAAGTTCAGAATTACAGTTCTGCAGTAGTCATAGCAAACTACCCATGGAGGGTGTCTACCTCAACCGATCCTAAACATTTCGCTTATTTTGCAGGTGATCTTAAATTTCTACATGCACTTAATAGAGCAATCCTTTGTATTTGTACCATGCAATTATGCCGACATACAATAAGATGGTCATGATGGTGCAAGCGACGTTGGTCCATATGAAGTCTTCCTGGGACCGATTTGGGGGATGCCAAAGTGTGATGGATATGTTAATGCCCATCACGCCGGCGAGGACTATGTACCCGCTGATCACCAGAATAGCAGTTGTTATCAGCACTCCCATCTGCAGAAGATTGTTTTGTTTGTCATCCAACATGATGTTAACATAGTCCTCCGTGTCGTCGACGTACTCCCTCAGCTTTAAGATCGGAAAAAATAAGAAAAGGACTAACGAGTTTAGCTATTAATTCACAGCGAAAAGGTTGTTCAGTGTCTCTTTTTGGGTATGTGCTTTCATAAGATATTTAATTTGTCATCAGAGAGAAAGTATGAGATTCATACTGTAGAGAGCTTGTTAAGTGTGCCATCAACTTGCACGAAGTATGCCTCTAGGAGCATCTCTAATTCCGCCACGTGGACATGCCTGGCTGGGGCGGCGCTGCGAGAATCACTGCTCTTGGCCGTTTCTATTTCATTGTTCAGCGAGCCACGCGGAGGAGTCAAACCGTCATCGGGTGAGATATTGGGATCTCCACTGTCATGCCTGTATAAATTTGGCGATAAGACAATAGTAACAGGATTTAAGTTAAACAGAAAGCAAGAGATTCAGTATGTGCCCGTCATTGTTGAGTTCATGAGCTTCGTCTTCCTCTTCGACAGCAGCTGAGGAAGAAGAGTTGTCATCTTCTTCTTGAAGCAGTTTGCTGGTCAGGTACATCCCCGCCATGTCTCCATCATCTTCGAGAAGATGCTCGAGCTCATCCCTCACCTATAGAGACATGGAAAAGGCCCATGCTATAAATTGTAGCCACTTGAGATGTCTTTAATGCAAGCAATGTTAATATGTATGGTAAATGCAAACATATGTTAGTGTAGTATTGTTTTTTTTTATAACCCATGGGCACGTGCATGGAGACAAAAGGGCTACCTAGAGGCCAATAAATCACAATATCCGGTGTAATATAACACAAAAGGTAATGGATCTTGTAATGCTTAACACGAGAAGGAGAAAATTATCATAGAAATCAATGAGGAATAATAAATAACATTATAAATTAATGTGGTTCGATCCAAGTTTCGTTAGTTACTCCACGAGGTCAGCCAACCGCAAAGATTCCTCTATGAATACAGAGAATACATGATTTACAATTGCCGAAGTATTTCTCAACCCTAAATTACACCCAAAGCAAATTCATAAATATTATTTCATAATCTTTCATAGAGTAACTCACTCAAAAAACTCATAGAGATGTTTTCTCCAGTGTGTATGATATTGGAGTAGAATTTAATATTATACTTATAATATAATATTTATTTTCAAAATAGGAAGCTTCAATTAACAACCTACTTAGACTAGGAAATCTACTCATACTCATGACATAATATCAACAATCTCCACATTGGCTAGACATTTGATCCAAATCATAGCGCTTATTATCAATATCGGCTCTTCCAAAGCCTCGACCGGCGCTCAATCATCACAAACGTTTATCAATTTCAAGCTAAGGTTAGGCATTTGTTTAGAAATGAACTCGATTGACATGTTTGCAAAATTCTCCACCACAAGGAGCTTCTTCAAGGTCGCAGCCTCCCTTCACATTTAAATCTGACGCAGTAATTTTGCTCACAAATGAACTTGATTCTCCAATGGTATATTTGACTTTCACTGAACACCGCTTCAACTCAATGTACTATGTCAACATCACAAACCAAGTCCTTAGACCCCATCGCCTCTTTAGCTCTTTTTGTGCCTCAATCATCGACGAAATTATTGTGTCTCTCAACAACGCTTTCCAACTCACAATACAAGTAACAGAAGTAAAGGCACGACTGCTTAGAAATTGACAATCCTTCAAAAAACTTGCGTGACTCGGGTTCTCAAACCCAATACTGCCACACTACATGAATTGCTTCCTCCGAAACATAACCCAACACCTATCATCCCTAACAAAATTAGGAGGATCCATTTTACAACTTCACAACACCTGGATTAACCATATGCATTCTCCTAGATGCATGTGATAGATCAAATCTAGTAATATTAACAACATAAAGTCAAATAACCAACAGTACTAGCATGTGAAGCATGAGACAAGTGCTCCATCTCCATCCAAGTAAAAAGTGGCAAACTAGACAACTTATAATATGCAGCAAGTGGGGTATTTACAAAATTTCTTAAATGCATGTTGAATCGCCTTCATGCTTTCCCGACATAACTCCTTTGAGTCACGCACAACATTTCAGCAGTCTTCACTCTCTACATCTATGTATCCGAAGCTGTCTCTATTGCACCCAAATTATCCACCTCAATATCTATATACTACTGTAGCTCTATCTCATCCATTTTGTTGACCACCTTGAAGTTTCATTAACTATGATCTCAAAACAACTGTCAACTACTATACAAATTGACAAGTCTGCAGGCACTACCACATATACCACACTTCAAACATCTTCGGGCTCTCCTTGAAGCTCTACCTACTTTTGAACATCGTCTAGATCTTTCTGTGCAATCAATACCTCGCTCCTCTTATGAAACATAGCACATTCCGAAAAGGTAATCTCACTGCTGAACAAAAAACCAGGTGAATCTTCATCAATGTACCACAGCTTGTATCTTTCATCCCATGTGATAGCATAGGAATATACACTCCCTAGCCCCCCGGCTCCAACGCACCATCACTCATACGAGCATAAGTAGCATAACCAAAAAGTCTAGTCCGGTGAAATCAATAGACTTACTTGATCACGTTTTTTCTGGAGTTTTCCAATCAATTTTTGGTGATTATGATCTATTCACTACTAACAAGAGGTATTCACTGCTTCGACCACGATATCTTCACCTAATCTAGCATTAGATTGTAAAGAGCAAGCTGTTTTCAATATAATTCCGTTCATTAGTTTTGCGACTCCATTCAATTCTAGTGTGTCGGTAATAGTACAATTGTTCACTATGCCTTTCTCTGTGCAAAACTGGCTAAGCTCCTTCCAACCCTTTAATAGTTCTCAGGCACATCATCTTCTTTCCTATTTGCTTTTTGATTATTGTCTTCCATAACTTGAACCAACCAAGCACCTCACTCTTGTGCTTAAGAAAATAAATCCAGACATTCCTCGAAACGTCATCAATAAAGGATAACACCTACCTGGCACCACACTTGAATGGAACTTGATAGGGTCCCCACAAGTGTGAGTGTACATAGCCTACAATCTCCGAAGTCCGGTGAATTGTTGTACTGAATTTCACTCTGACTACTCTTGTCGCAGTTTTCATAGAAGTTCAGCTTCTCAATTTGATGACCTCTAGTAGACTCCTTTGACTCAAAATTCATCTCCTTCTCACTCAAGTATCCAAGTCTCATCCACCATGATTGTGTCGTGTCTTGACTTAAAACCTCATATAATTTAGCTGAAGAGCTAATCATTATCGCTCCGCAGGGGACATGTAACTCGCAATTCATCTTCCCCCACATCACAATAAGCACATCTTGAGAGACCGTCAAAACTCCACCTTTAGTGGAGATCTAGTATCAAAAGCCGTCAAGAGCATTTAGCGAGATAAGGTTGTTCCTCAACTTCAAAAAATGTCTTACATTAGTTAATGTTCTCACTGTTAAGGAAACCTCTTAATATATCTTGAAGTTGACAAAACTGTCCTTGTGAATTTTGTAAGTATAATGAATACTCTAAAGTATTTTAATCCATGTAGATATATTCTAGAAATGGCAATTCTAATACTTCGAGAGAACTAAACTTTCTGGATATTCAGACTTTACGAGGACCAGAAGGAAGATCTTAGACTTTACGGGAACCAGATCGAGAAATTCAGACTTTCCTGTAAAAGTCAATCAGACTTTATATTAAGCAGATGAAGAATTTCAGACTTTACTTCTAAAAGGTTCAAACCTTACTGAAAACCCATACTAACTTAAGTTCTGGATGTGAAGTAAGAATCAGAAGTTATCCAGATTCTGAAACTATTTAGAACGAACATAACGGCTAGTGATCTGGCGTGGATTTCACAGAAAGAAAGTTTTGATTGACTCAATCTTAAAAAGCTATAATGCAAAATTGATTGATAATCAAATATTAAGGCAAGTATATATCACAATGGATAAAGCTCTACTTATGAAAATCAAGATTCTGGTTGTATGGGCGATCGGATTCAGCGAGATTCAGATTTTGTCAACCAATGGCTACTTAATCGATTTTATATAAATCTTTCCAAGTTGAAGATTGGAAGATGATCCTCTGAAGACTGTCGAATGGCTAGTTTAGAAGTAGATGACTATAAAAGAAGATTAACGAGGAGCAGAAGATAGAGAACGAAGTCAAGAATCAACAAGTCCAAAGCCTGAGCATACTCTGATTCTACTACTTGTCTTTCCTAAGCCAAACACTAAGATCTTGAGGGACATGTTGTAAGAATGATTATATGAGATAGAGAGTTCTATCATTCATAGAGTGATATCACTCAAAACTTGTAATCCTTTTTTATCACATAGTGGAATCCAGCCAGTAGGCTGTCAGCGTGAGAGAGTGGACGTAAGCTTGATCTAAGCCGAACCACTATAATTTCTTGCGTGCAGTTTCTCTATCCCTAAACTCTTATTATATCTTTTATACTGCACACTAACACATTGTCTATAAAGTCTGCTCAGAATCTGAATGTCTTTGAGACTTTAATCTTGATCATTTGTTTCTGCTTTAAAAAATTGATCAAAAGTTTTAGATCACTTATTCACCCCCCCCCCCCCTCTAGGTGATCCTTGCTAGCTACGTCAATTGGTATCAGAGTGAGGTTGCTCGTTTATTGAAGTGTTTTACTTCTGAGCTAACGATCTTTATGGCTAGCATGAGTTCTCTAGGTTTCATTGAAGGACAAAGCAATTCCAGACCACCATATTTCGATGGAAAAGAATACAGGGTCTGGAAAAACAAGATGAAGGCATTCATCAAATCAATTGATCACATGTAGTGGGATGTTGTCATCAGAGGAGTCAATCCAAAACCTTCTGCATCCGCATATGCTTTAAAAGAGAAGCTAGATGAAAGCTAATCAGAAGAAGCTCCATTATCTCAAACTGAGATAACAAAAAGAGAAGCTTTGGATTTAAAAGCAATTTATACATTTTACTGTGCTTTAGCACCTATTGAATATAATAAAATTGCTTATTGTGAATCAACAAAGGATATCTGAGACACCATCTACACCACATATGAAGGAACAAATCGAGCAAAGGAAACCTAGATCAACCAATTGCTTGGGCATTATGAATCCTTCATAATGAAGTCAGGAGAATCAGTTGCTGATATGTATAACAGGTTTATTGATATAATAAATGGTCTTGCATATCAAGGGAAACT